TCTGGAATCTTGGCTATTATAAGCTTTGCTGTAGATTTCTCTTTTTGATCATGGCTAATTGGAGTTCTGCGTGCCTCACTGTTTGTCAAATGCTTTTTGCCTGCTTGGGAAGTCCCCTGCTCCCCCGCCATTACCTATGTAAACAGGTTTTTTGTGTCGTTTGCACAATTTCCTGCTTTTTCATTGACTCTAGTCAATTTATGTTATTCTTCCTTGCATCATCTAGCAGCTGTTAGATTGATTTTTTTTTTTTTATGGTACCTTGTTCTTCTTAAGAAATTGCTTTTTAACCTCTCTTGTACATCTGATACTCAGTCCTCACATGGGTTCATTCTTTTGTGTATACTTTCAGTAGAATTTTTAATCTCCTGAGTATCTGTTTGAATCTGTTTCATGGATTCCATTTCTTTCCTACATTGGGCATTCATGGTTTCCATAATTTTCCTAAGCTCCTATTTTTTTAAAAAAAATCTGCATCTACTCTAGATTCAATACCATGTCCTTCATTATGGTCCGTTAGTTATATGAGGAATTATTTCTAATTTGATTTTTTCTAGAGCCTCATTGTCTTGGTTACTTTTCTCTTGTTGCTGAGACAAAATACCTGACACCCAGAATTAAGGAAGGAAAGGCTTATTTAGCTCACAGTTTGTGGAGGTTTCAGTGCATACTTGGCTGGCTGCAAGGCAGAGTGGCACATGGAAGAGGGCAAATGGCAGAAAACAGCAAAGGCAACAAGAGCAAAAGGGAGGAGTGGCAGCAAGCAGCCTCCTTCCCCCACTTACACTGTATGCAGACTTACCTGCCCTAGGGAAGGGGTAGCACTCACATGTATCATTCCAATATTGGACCATAAATCAATCATAAATCTAGAAGCCCACCCCATGACTACATGAGGATTTGAGGGGACAGGCAGACACAAACCTTAACTCTCATTTATCTGCTTTGGTACTTCCGCTATTACTAGTTCAGAGAGTTTAGGTGGGTGGCTTTTTTTCTTCTACTTCCCTGCCCCCAGGGCTTGCTTTGGGTGAGCTGGAAGACTGGGGTTGTATTTTGTTTACATGTCTTCTTACTTTCACTTTTTCCTTTAGTTTAGTTTCTCCATTGATGCATATAAATTGCTGAAGGTAGGTAGCTTTATTACTAGTGCCAAGAACTCCTTAGGGAATGATTACTTTTCAGAGATATCTTCTAGGTATAGCTGGCTTTTGTCTTTTGAGTCTGATGCATGATCCTACCTCCTCGATTTATTGGGGATGAGAAGTTGCTGCCTATTTGGCCTACCCTCTGGTTCTTTGGTATTGGTCTTCAGTACTGATTATGACCCTCAGGGAATCTTGGCATACAAGGAAGAACAACTGATTAGAATAACTGCCTTACCGTGCCTAAAGTTGTACAGTCTGTAATAACAGTAGCATCTTGTAGAGCCTAGAAAATGACAAACTGTGGTACCTATTAATTTGCCACCTTTAACTGAATGAACAAGATTTGTAGTTATATAACCAAATCTAAAACAAACTAGAAAGTTGTATACAGTAAATATCCCCTCAATAGAGGGATATTACCCTCAGGAGAGATAATATAAAAAGGGGCAAGGGGAAAAAATAGAGAAATAGAAGAAGAGAAAAGAGATTAGAATAAAGACTGAAGGACATAGGAAGATTATGTAAGCTTTGGCAAACTGGTGAAAAAAACAGAAGGGAAAGAAGGAAGAGACACATGAAGAGAACAGAACAACAACAATGAAAAATTAGAATTAATATTCACACTTATGTAAAAACAAGAGCAATTAAGTAAAAAAGAGCAAAGAAAGGAAGAAAAAGAATGTCCATTTAGGATATGCCTGCTGTCACTGGTAGACAAAAGGGTCAGACAGAACCCAGATCTGTGTTGATTGATCCTAGCAAGCCTGCTAGTAGAATTGAGGTAGTGTGGCAGATAATCCCAGGAAGCCCAAGGTTCAGGCTGATTCTGGTTCCTGGCAGTGGGGCTAGAACCATAATTGTTCAGCCCACAATACTCTGGGTGCCTTTTGCTGACTTAAACCAGTCTCCCTGATGGTGGCTGTCTCCCACAGCTGCTTCTTCCCTTGCCACTGGGAGCTGCTAGATGGACCCAACTGGAGGCAGGTCTAAGTCCTGGGTTCAGCTGACATGTTTTCAACACGGTGACAGCTAATTGCTGTCTCCTAGGGATGTCAGAACTGGAACTCATTCATCAGCCACTGCAGCCTGCAGCATCTACGGCTCCACTCAACTGTTGTGTTTCTCCATGGAGGCCTCTGGAGTCACTCGTAGTAGCTTTGGCTCTGTAGGTTTGAGCCACCTCTCTCACACCATGAGCTGGGATTCAGGAAGAAAGCACCATTTGCCACTTTCCTCTTCTGTGTTGAGGTGTCTCTCTGTGCTGTCCCCATGGGCTCCAGTTCTCGCTTCAGAATGTTGCTGCATTCTGGGGACCCATTACCTTCCTTCTTCTCTTCCCCATGTTTCTATATTCCAGGATCTGGACTCTAAATCTTGGAGAAGCTGAGTTGATGTTGCTGGTCCACCTTCCTAGAAGCCCCTTTGTATATATTTTTGAACAAATAGTTACATTAAAACTGAAGTGTGAGATGAAGACATTTCTAGGAAAATGTGCTTTTGTTCTGCTTTGATAAATCGAAGGAATGTCTCATTGTTGGGTGTTGCCTCTGTATGCAGGAAGTTCTATGACGAGAAAAGTTCTGAGTTGATGCTTGTTCACTTTATTTCACAAAGTGGTAGTTAGCAGTGGAACACAGACCCAGTGAGGAGACATAGATGCCAGAAATGTGGGACCTTCAGGATTTAATTCAAGTATGTGGAGATGAAAGCATGAGGTAGAGCTCATGGTGTAGCCATGAATCAAAACAACCAGAAGTAATGAATGAGAAGGGCTGGGGATGAAGCCTAGTTGCGGTGCAGTTGCTAGCATGTGAGATGCCCTAGGTTCGGCGCTCAGTATAGCAAACAATAAAACACCACCACCACCAGAATGCTCAGCAGGATTTGGAAGACTGCAGATGTATCTCAGGAAAATAGGAAACTCTGAGACTGCTTCTGATACAGGCACTTTCTGGCCCTTTTCCTAAAGTTCCACTCTTGGCCCTGACCCCTCATTTGAGGTTTGGTGAGATGTGAGGCTTTTCAGATACTCCCACAGCTGTGGACGTGAGGGAGGAGCTAGGCTCCCTCTCGAGGACTGGCGAAAGTCAGGCTGCTTGGTAATCACAACGACTGATCTGAACACAACAATATGAAATACAAGAACCATTGTTGAATTCCTGCCATCTTGTGTGGTGAAGCTCTGCAGTATTTCCAATGGTTTTTTTTTATTACTTGTCACTGTCTTTGATTGTTTGATCAATCTTACATTCTTACATCTAGTGGGCTGAGCAACTTTGTTGAAGATAACAGTATGTAATGTAGCAACCATTGTTAATTCCTATCATTTTGTTCTGAGGTCGTGTATCATTGTATTGTTTTGCTAGTTTTATTTCTCTTTACATTAAAAAAAAAAGAAACACAGGTCCTTTTAGATCTCCCCTCAAACAGGATTTCTGGCATCACAGTAACTACAGCCTTAAATTCAATTGTGCTACAGCTTTGAATGCTCCCCTGTCTTCGCAAGATGGAATATTACCTACGTGTCAGTGGCTCCCCACAACTTGAGTAGAATATTTTGCCAGAGAAACTTTCTGTGAATCATATGAAACCTTTAACTCGGGGTTAGTTTTCCAAAGTAATTTCTAAAAGAAAATTTTCATTATTTAGTATATTTAGGAAATTTAGAAAGGGGCAAAAATGGGTTTCATGCCAGTGGGACTTAATTCAGGAACTTTTAATGAAAAAGCTGTGAAGTGTTTTGAAGAGGTAGAGAACATGGTTGCCTTCTAGAAAAGTATCTGAAGTTTTTTTTTTCATATAAAAGAATAATTTTAGTTGAATTTAAATAAAAATAGTCAAGGAAGCTTCAAACTTCAAAATTTAAGTACCTTTAAATGTGAGAAGTCAGTACTGATTTTAGAAATCAGATTTTAACACCAAATTCCCCCTAAATGAGGTGACTTTTGGAATCAGTTCTATTTTAAAACCATTCCTGTGTGCCCAGCCTCATGCAAGGTGGAAGGGATGAGGATGACTGAAACTTCTTACTGAACTTTACATGCTAGGGTTGTGCCAGGTGAGAAACGAGTAATAAAATGGATGAAGAAGGGCCGTGAAGGAAGTCAGTTTATAATAGTGCTTCAGGAAAATTATTTAACTTGAAGACTTTAGCATCCAAAGTGTCTTCTTCATATGTGCTATGAGAAATGGCATTGTCACATCTAGATGAATGTGTTGAGCCATGGTAGGGTGGAGAGTGTTCTCACATGCTAATGTAAAGAACTGATTCAAACCCTTTCCTCTCAGATCCAGTTGCCCACCTTCAAAACCCCTCCTGCAGAAATTGTGACATTTTCACGGAGTATATGTGAACAGGAGCTGAACAGGAGCAAATGAATTATCAAACGTGGAACCAGGTACTCAGAGGTTAGAGCCAATGGCAACATTGTGTAATAAATTACCATATTGTGTATTCTACCTGCGACTCTAACTAGTCCTTATCCTGTAGATTAGTTGTTTTTCTTGTAAGCTATATACCTAAGAGGAGAAAGAATTTCTCTAGGATTGTAGCTTGGAGCAAGAAGAGTTCAGGCTTCTAGACTGGGTTACTACTTGTGAGTATCCTGAGGCCTAACCCTGTGACTTCCATGGGAAGCTATGTCCTGCCCTAGGCAATGGGCTGCTGAAGGCATGGGCTTACTCAGGTCTGAGGCCCATATCCTGCCTTGATATGAGGAGGTGGCCCTGCAGGGAGCTGCTGTCACTTCTGCTGGAGGCAAGGAGTTGGGTCTGTTCACTGTAGCAAAAGGCTCCCTGGGGCCATGGTAAGCCCATCTGGGCCAGAACCTAATATATATTTCTTAAACAATGATGTCACAAATGGTGGGGCGGGGCGGAGTGTACAAGGTTACCAAGGCACTGGCAACAAGTGGCCACCAGAAAGATTCCAGCAGGTGTTTGGCTGCAAGCCTACTGGCCTAGGTCTTTGCAACTCAGCCTCATCCCAGTATGTTTGTACTGAGCTTCTGGGATCTAGGGCTCCGTTTTTGGCCATAGTTGTGGCTACTGGTCCTGGTGGCCCCATATCCAGAATGGGCCCAACGCTCAGTCCAGCTGGACTCTGAGCCTCTGGGGCCCAGTTTTTTGTTTTCTCCCTACACATCTAATCTCCCACCTGAACTGCTCCACGCCTTTACTGCCCTGGCAGAGCCAAGTGGATTTGATTACTTGGGGTCCTCTGAGCCTACAGAGACGTTGCATCCACCTCAGGAGTCGACTGCAGAGCCATTGCCAGATGCAGATAAGTTTGCTGTTCCGTATCAGGGTCTGGATGACAAACGTGCCAGGCTAGAGAGACACCCGGAGGTGATTTCAGTGCTAGGTAGAGATGGGAATCAAGATTTAGCTTTGCTTCTTGGACTCAAAAGGAAGATTGACAGTTCTGCTCTAGATCAGGCAGCAGACCACCAGTCACTTGTACTTGTTCCACCTCTAGTGAGTAAGAGTTTAATAGCCTCACAGTTTGTTTCACCCCTGAAAATGAAGAAAGATCTAGCACAGCATTGGCAACCTTCTAATGAGGGTTTTGGAACTCCCTATCAAGTTTGGCAAAGGGTTACAACTCAGCAGCCAAACCCTTTTATAATTGATGACCATTCTCCAGTGGGTCAAGTGATTCCAGTTCACTCTGAAGAGCTTCCTGAGCATTCTCTAAGCCAGCAGGAGAGCTCGGCTCTGTTCTCAAAGCTCTCTGTTTGTATCACACTTCCATCAGTCCAGCAAGAGCTCTCAGCTTAGTCTCCAATCCCCTGGAAGCAGGGTAGTAGTTCTTTTCCATTGACAGATAGGATGATATTTTCACCTCTAGGTACAGGAACAATGTTCCTAAATCAGCATTCAGTGTTGCCTAAAACCACAGTTACACATGTGGATCAGTTTACTGTACCTGCAAAGCCCACTCTGGAGGCAGAACCTTTTGTCACCCAGCAGGACCACCCTGCTCAGCCTACAGTTCACGCTGAACAAGCTGAACTTTCTCCAGTCCACACTGATCCCCCTTCCTAGCCTGCAGAGGTCCCTGAAAAATCTGAGTCTTCTCCAGCCCAGCAAGAAGTCATAGCTCTGACTCCAGGTCCCCCTAAAGAGTTAAATTCTGCTGCCATTCCCCAGGAGGCCCCAGGTCTGCCACTAGAGTTCCCCAAGAAGGCCAAATCTCGAATCCCCAAAGAATCATCTTCAGTGCTGCAGCCCCCCTCCATTCAGGCTGAAGAACCTCCTGATGAAGCTGTAGCTCAGCTCTTGATGCTGCATGAAATGACAGTTCCAATGCCAGGTCAGGACCCAGTTCAGCATCCAGTATTACCCAGTGTCACAGTACAACCGCTGGTTGTGGAGTTTACCGGAAGTCCAGAACCCAGTACAGAGGCTGAACATTCTGTGGCCCTGCAGAAGGCTGTAGTTCGTCCTCTGAAGCACTCTGAGGTGACACTTGCACAACCAGACCAGGTGCACCCTCAGTATCCAAATCTGACTACTGTCGTGGTTCAACATTTGCATCTAGATCGTTCCACGACTCTGTCTACTTCCAGCGTTAAACTTTCCCCAATTATGTCAGAAAGCCCATCTCACTCTCAAGAGGCATCTCTGGAGGCGATAGCTCAACACACGCTGTCACATGAGATGACAAATCCAACACCAGATCAGGACCGAGCTAAGCATCCAACATCACATATTCAACCATTGGTTATGGGCCTTAGTGTAAGTCCATAACCCCCTACAGAGGCTGAACATTCTATGGCCCTGCAGGTGGATGAAGCTCCTTCGCCAAAGCACCCTGAGATGACACCTGCAGATCCAGACCAGGGGCAGGGTCAGCATCCAAACCTAACTCCCATCATGCTTCACCGTTTGGATGTGGAACATTCCATCAATCAGGATTCTGTAAATTACACCCCAGAAAGGGCTTTAACTGTGCGAAAGAGGCAGAATGCTACCAGAGCTATCAACATACGTGAGCTCTGCACCTGCAAAAATGCGACCCTGTCATGTATTGGTTTCAGCCCAATGCAGAGGCTGCACCAAGTTCCTGTACTAGAGCCCGACACCTCCAACAGTACCTTCACCATCTTGTAAGAATCAATTTTGTTCATTTGTACTCTGCATTCTGCCTGATGTGGCAGCCTTTTCTTTTCGGGCTGTCATCATCTCCCCAGTTCACATTGACTGACTTTCTGCTTTTACCTTTTTGTTTTCAAATTTTCCTGTTCCAGTCTCCTTTGTAACTATTGTGCCTCTATCACTTTCTCCTTACGCATTTTTACCTAGCCCATCACACTGTTGTTTAACCCTGGGTCTTCCACTTTTGCTCTACCCTTTTTATAATTCATTTCCTTAGTGATGGTATGGGAAAGTGAGTACATGTATATTCTGAACCTGGTGGGTGTTGCTCAGTGAGAGTTCTTGTCTACTATGTGCAGCAGGATCCTGGTTTAATCTCTCGCATGCCTTCCCTCCTCTGAATAGATTCTGGAACCAGACTGCCTGGGTTTTAACCCAGATCTCTCTTTTATTAGCTTTGTTACTCTTGTTTCCTCATCTGTAAAATGGAAATTATGATAGTTA